AACACAGGGAATAAAATAAACAGTGAGTACAAGAACATAAACAAGGAAATACTTTATAAAGAGTCGAGTACATTGTGCCACAAGTTGGCCCAAAAATCATTACAGTGTTTTAGCTGTTTTTGTACAACAGATTTCCTATTTGTGAATGATGCAAACAGTTGAATAGCTGCAGTCATATCTTTCTTTTGATCAGCCGGTCCTTGATTGGTGATTTGTAGTTTGAGGTCAGTTTGGAGTAAGGCTTGATTCACTGCAGAAAGCTCTTCTTCGAGTTGAGCTTTCCTCTCCAGCAATTGAGTTCGGAAGTGAGAGGCAGAGGAGTGTTGTTCCTTAAGCGTTGATACTTCAGTATGCACTTGAGAAACAAAACTTTGATCTCTGACCAATTTCTCATCTGCGGCCTTGGCAGCATGACAGATGCTGATGTAAAAATCAATGGTAGCTGCTGCCTGGGATAGATGGTTAGAGACATCCATACCAGACTGCTCAGCAAGTTTGCAGCATTGAAGAAACCCGTTTTTTATTATAGGCCTTTGTAGAGCCTCGAAGGGAATCCTCGAAAAAGAAATTAGCAGGTCTAGACAGGTGTCCAAGTCTATCGAAGGCACAGAAGGTTGGCTGCTGGAGGAAGGAGAGCTCTCAAAGATTTCCAGCAAAGAATCGGCTAAAACTAATGGCTCAGTCTCCTCATCGAATGTCGGAGAAGTAGAAGTGATGTCAAAAAGACTAGCTAATCTTGCTTCAAAAATATCAATCTCATCAGTAGACATGAGGAGAGCAGAAAGAGTTGCCTTGGGAGACACAGAAGATTGCATAGCAATAGGAGAAATGGGTGGAGCATCTTTGATGGTCTCCATGGTCCTGGTCACCAATGAATCAAGAGAAGGAGGGCTGGAGCTAAGTAAAGATGGTGAGTCACGAATTGGAGAGCTGTCAGCACTCATCAAAGACAAGGTAGCACTTGGAGCCTCCTTGGAAGGGGAGAGAGGAGCAAGACTCAGTAAAGAAGTAGATTGGGGAAAGTCAAGAGTCAGGTAAGAAAGATAGGGAGCTAGGCCAAGAGGAAAAGGTACAGGAATGCTTGGCCTCAGGAAAAGTGTAGAAAATCTAAACGCCAAAAATGGAAGTATGGTCTGAGTAGTCCCTACATCCTACGTTTGATCTGCCTCGAATGAAACTGAGAGAGGTTCCATCGGAAAGATGAGTTCAGAAGTTGCTGCTGCATGAGGAAGAAATGTAAGGCAATGTCAAACCTTGATACCAAAGGCTAACAGAGGAAAAATCGCAAAAGCGTAAACTTACCTGCTCCAGAAGTATCGGCAATAATGGGGGAACTGCGAAGGGTGTAATCTCTGGCAGTCTGTTGTCTTCTTACAGTTTCCCTTTGCAGTGTGTCAGCAGCAGCAAGTTCATCTCTCAGAAACTGTTGCTGCCGTCTCTTCTCAGCTCTTTTTAAAGACAATCATGGCTTTAGGATGTTCTTGCTCCATTGTCCTGACGGCTGCTTGATAGATGTTATCTTCGACTGAGATAGGAGTGGAAGCAGACACCCTTTTTCTCTTCTCTATGGCTTTGGCGATTGTCTCAGAATCAGAGTCTTCGACCATATCGGAAGGAGAAACAGTCATCTTTCTTTTCCTTTTCCTCTGTATTGGCAGGGTCTGTTTTTTCTCAATTTCTTTCTCAACTTTTCCCTCAAGTTCTTCAAGCTGCGATCTAGATTCCAGAGAAATGAATTCATCTTCTGACTCTCTGGCAGTTACCGAGTCTGATGAAAAGACGATCGCTTTCTTCTTTCTTTTTAAAAATAACTCTTCCTCTTCATCTGATTCTTCCTTTTCTTCCCCTTGAATATTGGATGTTCCCTTCCCAAGTTCAAAGAGGCTCCTTTTCTTTTGTGATTGGCCACCTTCACAAAAGAAGAATTAAAGATAAGGCAAAATGCATTATGAAAGACAAAAGGAGAAGAGACAAGGGTATACCTTTCTTCGAGGCAGCCCGAGTGACTCTAGGAGGAATTGAAGCAGCAGGAGCAGCATGTGCCAATTCTGAAACAGTGGAAGAAGTGACCTCCCCGGTTTCTTTGGACTTGGTCATATCTAACACTGTTAGTAGGCTTAAAGGTGGAATGGCCAGATAAATCTCCATGTTAGTCACCCACCAGTTTTGGTACCTCTTCAACACGGTACCTTGAGGAATGAAAGGGGTGTATTCAAAGTTGGCCAAGTCATCTACAAATTTCAAAGTTGTTTCTTCTAGCCTGGATTTCCGGACTTTCAAGTCCCTTCTGGTGAGGCTGAGATTTGTGTTGCTACAGAGGGGTATTGGGACCCCTTGTGAAAGGCCAAATTGTCTAGCAAACTGAGCTGGACAGTAAGGTTCAGCAATACATTTATATGCCTTCGGATTTAAAGTCCCGATAAATAGCTCTCTGGGAATCAGAATGGAAGCCCATATATCCTGGTGAATAAGTGAAGTACAGGACTGGTCACTTAGAAAATTCCTCAACCAGGATGGACCAATGGAAGGTTCGAAGGGACGAAAGCGGTAAGTAGGAAGGGAGGCTGGAAGCTGATGAAAGAAAGAGAAGTAAAAAGCAAAGGTAGAAGGGTAAAGTGAAGCATTGGCTATCCTTATGCCATGAGTAAGAGGGTTTGGCTAGAAAAATTTAAGGCATTTGGATTGTAATTCGGTAAAATAGGCGAAAAGCCAAAATTGAAGGATCCAGAATGGCCCCCCTTGATTAGCATCTAAGGGTTTCTCACAAAAAAGGGAGCAGACTCTATATACATGCCTTAGGACATGTGGGGCTAAGGCCACCTTTTTCTGTAAAACAAAGGCTTTGGCAAGAGGGGCAAATTCAGGCATAATTCTCTGAGAAGAAGTGCAAAAAAGGAATTTACAAAGCCAATACAACAAGAAAGAAAAAAGTTCCCTATCAGTCACAGGGCCTTGTCTTTTATTCTCAGCCCTAGCGAAATCACTATAAGATGAGTTAAGGGAGGGGAGAGAGAAAGGGACTGATAAATCAGGATAATCTGGTCCAAAAGGAGTGCCAATAGGAGATAGTCCCAATAAATGGCAAATATCAAGAACAGTAGGGGCCATCATCCCACATCTAAATTGGAAAAAGTTAAAGACAGGATTCCAAAAACATAGAGCAGCGGGAACAAGGAAAGGGTCTTCTGAAATAGTTACCCTAGACAGTCTGAGAGCATCGAGAAGGCAGAGTTCTTGAAGGTCCAGGGTCCTAGTAGGGATAACCCGATCATACCACTCTTGCCACTCTGGTCTCACCGTGGGCCAGCATCAGTGGGGGCGATTCATCCTCCAGTTCCTCCAGTCAAGACCACCTTCATAGAGAAGACATTGGTTTTCCAGTTGGGGATACAGGGCTGAGAGTTCAGTGAGGACTTCTTTGAATATGGGCCCGGGCACATAGTCTGACTGCACATGGCGATGAAGGACAAAGATGCGTCCATCAATAGCGCTCTTCTCCCCAGCTTTGTACTTTTCGCATTCCGCGTCAGTAATTCTCTTCAGGGCCACAGATGGGCTCATACACTCTACGACTGATACTGAAGGAGAGCCATTGACGGTATGTTTTTCTTCGGGAAAGGAAGTAGAGAGAAGTCGACGATTGGTAATAAAAGGGGTTTGTGCGATTAGAAGAGCAGGTGATTTCAGAACACAAAACAAAAGGGTTTTTAAAGCCCTTGTATTTGAAAATATATTACATGAGCTGTTAAGTATAAAAAGTACGAGTACAAAAGCTTCTTTCAACATTGATGCTTTTGGAGGGAAAAACAAAGCCCGGTTGTTAAGGCTAGCTTCGAAGTAAGATATTTTGCTTCGAAGCCGAGTCAAACGGCTTCGAAAACAGAGAAGCCAACTTCGAAGTGGGATGCCCTACCCAAGAAATAAAAAATACTCGAGTATTTATTTTAAAAAGGGCTTAAAGACCTGTTTTTAGAGTTTTTTTAACAAAGATAATGTGATAATGTCCTTCGAAGCAAAACTTGAGTTTCTTTAACAAAGGTAATGTCCTTCGAAGCAAAACTTGAGTTTCTTTAACAAAGGTAATGTCCTTCGAAGCAAAACTTGAGTTTCTTTAACAAAGGTAATGTCCTTCGAAGCAAAACTTGAGTTTCTTTAACAAAGGTAATGTCCTTCGAAGCAAAACTTGAGTTTCTTTAACAAAGGTAATGTCCTTCGAAGCAAAACTTGAGTTTCTTTAACAAAGGTAATGTCCTTCGAAGCAAAACTTGAGTTTCTTTAACAAAGGTAATGTCCTAGTAATAATTTAAATATTAAATTTAAATATTAAAACTAATAATTTAAATAATGTTGAGTATATAATTTAAATATTGAGTATATAATTTATTCGTATACTTCTAACAAGTTATAATTTAAATATATTCATATACTCAACAATTGTGTGTTGAGTATATAATTTAAATATTAAATTTATTCATATACTTCTACCAAGTTAAACTAGTACGCAGGTGGTATAACTTTTAGATAACTTGATAGTAATGATATACACAAATTTTTTTTATTAATTTTTTCTTTTTAGATATAGTTTTTAAATTTATTATTAAATCTAAAGATAGTAAGAATAGTATTAGCCTAACTCAAAAGTTTGTTATATTTTTCAAACTAAATAATGTTCTAATCTATTAAAATATTTATGCAAATTATTTTTTTTGTTTGTAATAATCAACTAATTATTTCTTTTACATATGACTGAATTTTAAAACGGAATCTACCTAGACTTCAATACCATTTTCGTACTCATTTTCTTGCCGTTTTAGTTGAAAACCATGTCAATAGTTAACTTTGGCACACCCATGCAAATGTAAATTAACGAGAACATTGACATTAATGGCTTCCCCATGAAAACCCCAGAATCAAAGTTTCGAGCCCTATAAATACAGCCTTGTGGAATGTCCAAAAACCATCCACTCCATCCATCTCTCTCTGTCTCTCTCAAAAGAGAAATGACAGAAAGAAAAGAGAACATAGTGATGTTCCCATTCATGGCACAAGGCCATCTCATCCCTTTCTTAGCATTAGCACTTGAGTTAGAAAAGAAAAATGGATACACCATAACCTTTGTGAACACTCGTCTCAACATCAAGAAACTCCGACCCTCAATCCCTCTAAACTCATCCATTCGCCTCCTTGAAATCCCATTCAACAGCTCCGACCACGACCTCCCTCCGGACTCCGAAAACACCGACTCTCTCCCTCTCCCTCTCCTCCTCCACCTCGTCGTCATCTCTCCCGCTCTGGAGCCCACCTTCCGAGACCTCATCTCCGGCCTCGTCCTCGAACATGGCCGCCCACCACTTTGCATTATTTCCGACATGTTCTTCGGATGGTCTGCCAAAGTTGCTCATGAATTCGGTGCATTTCATGCTATATTCAATGTTGGTGGGGGCTATGGCATGGCTGCCTTTCACTCTTTATGGCTACACCTTCCTTACAAGAAAATGAATTCCGAGGAGTTTCCTATGTCGAGCTTCCCCAAAGGTCACCAGATTCACACCAAACAGTTACCAGAACATTTTCTAGTAGCGGTGCCCGGTGATTCGTAGTGCTCATTTTCACAAGATATGTTTCGAGATTGGTTGGAGAGTGATGGGATTTTGTTCGACACCATGGAGGAGATTGACCATGTTGGGATGGAGTATTTTAGACACTGTTGGCTACACATTTTGTACTAAGCCAGTGACAATTCGACACGTGACAAAGTGAGGGTAATATGGGGAGACCAGGTAGGTCTCCGATCCTGATCATACACGTGGTAATTAATATTGGTTGTTATAAGATCTGAGTAGTAGCAGATCAACAAAGAGACGTACAGTGACGTGGCTTCAACGGTTGCTCACATTTCAAATTCGAATATGAGGGGGAAGCCTAACTGCAAGTGAAGGCGTAGTGGAACTACTTATAAGGTAGCATGATCAGCGACTATGGAGAAGCAGTTCGACGGTTTGAAGTACAATTCGATGGTTATCTTCGGAGAGTATAAATAGCAGAAAGGACTTCAGAGGAGGGGACGGCAAAAAAGATCTAAAGAATTACTTTACATAGTCCAGTGTTATTCCCTATCCTTTATATTTCTGTACTTTAAGTTTCTGTGCCACACTTCATTTATAGGAGTAGTTTTCGAGTATATTGCCGCTGTAATTCTCTACGGAACTAAGATCATTGTAAGTTTTTCATACTAATGAAATATTTCAGTTTATTTAATTGTTCTTACATTCAAGTTTTCTGAAGTCAAATTACCAGTAAGCCACCAGTAAAAGTCCTCTTTATTGAGGCCGAAAGAACCATAACACAATCGTCTGAATAATTGTTTGGCAATTACAATTCTGTAAGGACTGATTGATCCTTGTTGGCACGCTCATAATTACGCAAGTAACCTTCGAAAGCCAAAAAAGCCAACAATTATGTTACATTATCAATTAATACACTAATTAATATATTAATTGGTGCATAAAATATTATCCTATTTGGAATTCTCGGAGAAGGATTAGAATGACAGTTTCTGCTAATAAATGACTACTTAAATCAATGTTTTGAGGATAAAGATTCCACTGACCTCTAAAAAGTAGCCTATTCCTTGGGGTGTGGTAATACATCTAAGAAGTTTTAACAAATCACAAAATATGTAATATACATCACCAAAATACATTGCAGATGTATATGGTACCACCCTTTAGAATTCAATCGTGCTACGTAGCTCGAAAACTGATTCTATATTGGTAGCAAGATTATATATTTATGTAAGACGTATTTTTTGTGTTTATTGACAATAAAATTTCATAAAAAAAAAAAAATTCTTTTATACATATAATAATTTTCAAATAGAAAATGTCATATACTGATTTTGTTGCTTATCAAGGTATTCCAATTTGGAGCAATACCTATCAATCACTTACTGGACAAAATAATAAATTTTTTTTGTTGAAAAACTAAATTCATGGTAATTTTATTGATTTTAGCTTTAATTTGAAAAAGGTCTTTGGCTTATTAACTTTGTAGTACCACACAATAGCATGTGCGGTTGCGATTTCAACTTTTGTTCATTTTTTCATCACTATGGTGGATATAAGGGATGGCCATGGACCCCTCAACCCAAACCCAATATTTTTTTGAGTAATGTAAAGAACACACCTAAATTCACATTGATTTATACAACCGGCTTGTTAGAATAGTTGAAAGAAATATGAAAAATGTGTATCTCTGTTATATTGAATAAAATGAACACAATAAGAGAGCCTGTATTTATAGGTTGAATACAAACCTAGATAAGTATAGAAGGAGATAGAGATAGAAAGAGATAGAGATAAGCTACTATATCACCATTAAGGAAAGCATTTTGACATCCATCTAAAAGAGATCCCAGTGGCGAGCAGCGACAACAACAAGTAAGCTATGCATAGAGGTAAGTCGAGAAATCGGAGCGAAAGTCTCCTCATAATCAATGCTATATTCTTGGGTGAAGCCTTTTGCAACAAGACGGGCTTTATAGCGCTCAATAGAGCCATCAGAATGGGTCTTGATTTTGTGTACCCATCTACAGCCAATTGTAGTCTTTCCAGGAGGAAGATTAATAACATCCTAAGTATGAGTTTTGTCTAAAGCTTGTAATTCATCAGTCATAACTTGCTGCCAAAGAGGATTAGTACAAGCCTCACGATAGGAGGTAGGTTCATAAGTAGAAAAGACAGTAGACCCTAACAATATAATCATGAAGATGAACAGGTGGTTGAGTTACCTGATGTGGACGACCGGTGGGAGGAGGATTTGGTAGGGTGATAGGAGACTCAACGGGACCATTAGAGGGAACAGTCGGGACAGGATTAGGTGTAGGCAAAGGCGTCTCTAGAGAGGAGGAACCTGCATCAAAGGCATTAGAGAAGAGATCAATAGAAGGATTAGTAAACATAATGAAAGTAGAGGATGATGATAAGTGGAACGAGGATAAGGATGAAAACATTTTATGCTCCTAGAAAACCACATGACGAGAGACACGAAGACGTTAAAAGATAGAATCCCAGCAACGATAGCCTTTATGTTCAATTCCATACCCAAAAAAGCAACAAAGACGAGAACAGGGTTCAAGTTTGGCGTGTTCATGATGTTGGAAAAGAACAAAGCATGCAGACCCAAAAATCCGAAGATTTGTGTATGGAGGACTAGTGCTATGTAAATGTGCATAAGGAGTTTAGTCATGGATAATAGGAGTGGGAACACAATTGATAGTGTAAACAGTAGTAAGAGTAGCTTCCCCCAAAAAATATTCAGGACACGAGGAAGAGATAAGAAGGGCTCAAGTAATGTCAAGAATATGCCTATGCTTCCGTTTAGCACGACCATTTTGTTGGGACGTGCCAGCATAGGAACGATGAGGCTGAGTACTGTGACGCTGAAGGAATGAGAGAAAATCAAGAACTCTGTATTCCATCGCATTATCAGATCGAAAATTTTTAATGGTTTTAGAAATTTGGGTTCGGACCATGCTTGCAAAATTGTAATAAAGTTGTTTGAGTTCTGATCGACTTTTCATGAGAAACAATGATGTAAAACGTGAAGAATCATCAACAAGGACAACAAAGTAACGTGATCCCCCCATAGTGGTAGTAGGTGATGATCCCCAAATATCAGAATGGATAAGATCAAATGGTGAATGAAAAACAGAAGTACTTGCATTAAATGATAAAGGAGGTTGTTTTGCAAGTTGACAAGATAAACAACCCAAAGTATCGGGAATGACATGACCTAACTGATTAGTAGAAACTAAAGATTTTAAATGACTAACAGAAATATGTCCTAAACGACAATGCCAAATATTAAAAGGAGACATGCTGGAAGCAGATTTAGGAGCAACTATTGGGGTGGAGTCTGGAATATAAAGATGAATGAGCTCATAGAATCGTCCATGCTTACAGCCGATCCCAAGAGTTTGTCCCGCCTGAGGGTCCTGTACCAAACAACCATTAGTAGAAAATGTAACAGTTAGACCAATCTCACATAATTGACTAATAGAAATAAGATTTAAAGTGAGAACAGAAATAAGGTAAACATTTGATAAGGATAGATGAGAGGTGGAAATAGAATCAATATGACTTACACACATAAGAGAACCATCAACGGTATAAATGGAGGGAATATGAGGAGAGGAAGAAATAGAAGAAAATAGAGTAGAACTGGAAGTCATATGATTGCAACATGTTGAGTCAAAATACCAGGGAGATGTACCTAAATCGGACATGGCTTGGGCCCATAACACATAATTGGAGCCGTCAAGGATAACAGAGATTGTATGAGAAGCATCATGACGATCCATAACGGTGGTTTGGTGAAGTAAAATAGAGAAAAATAGTGCTATAGGGGCAAAAATAGCAAAACAGAGCGTACCAGTGAGTCCGGAAGGTCGAAAATAGCTGGAAAAGAAGTTTGGTGTGCAGAGATGACGTCAGCAGGGGCGCGGCTCACGTTAGCCAGAGGGTGCGCGGTGCACGATAGTAGCAAAGGTGTTAGCAAATACGTGGCGCACGTTAGTAGGAGGATACGGGCGCACGATAGCAGCATGCGTTTAACGTACTGTAGTGCTGACGTGCTTAGGGCTGACGTCAGCGACGACGGAAGCAAAGGGACACGCGCGTGACAGACGCGTGGCGTGTAATCTTCTGGCAACTGGTGCGTGGTAGCGCATGTAGAGACTGGTGGCGTCGTGAATGATGCGCCTAGCAATAAGTGGTGCATAAGAGCATGTCTACGCTTGTTGTGAAGCATGGCTGATGGCTCTGGAATCGTTTGGAAGAGACGAATATTATGGTGTTGCAGGTTTATGATTACGACCACTGGAATCGTCTGAAAATAACGATGAAGTAGTGCTGGAACAAAGATAATAAAGTGTATGGGTGATGGAATGAATGCTGTAGTGCCACTATGTACGGGACTAAGCACAAAAAAAAAAAAAAAAAGAAGAAGAAGAAGAAGAAGAAGATAAAAAAAAGGCTATAAGTGTAGAACCTAGAACTTTGATACCATGTTAGAATAGTTAAAAGAAATATGAAAAATGTATATCTGTATTATATTGAATGAAATGAATACAATAGGAGAGTCTGTATCTATAGGTTGAATACAAACCTAGATAAGTGTAGAAGAAGATAGAGATAGAGAGAGATAGAGATAAACTACTATATCTACAATACAAGGAGATAAGTATAAATCTAAATCTAATATATACATTAACACGGCTAATGTGGCAATACTGTGAGCTCGTTCGGGAAGTCTTGGTTTGGGATTTTTTGGTTAAAATAGCCACAAAAAAATAAAATAGGCTTTTTAGTCCAATAAGACAAAATATCACATCCAACCCATAATTATTACATTCTTTCTCTCACAAAAAGTTAGAAAACCTTCCCAGACGAGGCTTTTTAACCCCAAGCTAAAACAGCCAAAAAGTCAAAATGCCAACCCACTTCCCAAACGAACACACAGGGTCCATCGGTTAGACTAAAAACAAAAGATAAATTACAAATATCTCCTACCCTTTTAAATTTCTAATCGCACAACAAAT